AAGATTCATGGAAAATTGCACATTGGCCTTAGTTAGAATGTTGTTCACAAAATTTCAAATGAGCAATGGGTGACTAGTAAGTCTGTTCTCATGGTGTCAGCTTCATCCTTAGCTATGGGTTTTGTTTTCCACAGTCTCAAAGTCTTCTTTATTTAAAAGGCTTGCACTAAAATGCCCTAAATTTCTTACATTTCATATATATATTCCTTCAGTTGTCCATTTCTGTTTCGCTTGTGCCATTCCTTCAAAGTCTTAAACACAAATTCAAATCAATTCTGTCAAATCACCTCTGTTCTAATGAAAATGGTGTAGTTTGTTTTAGCTTATATTTATGCTTGCCTTCTAGAACAAATATTGCATCAGTTAAAACCTGTTTGCACATATTTGACTGCATGTAGCAAAAATAAAACTGTTATTAGGGGCAGAATCTTCCCAGAGAGAAATGGAGAGAAATCTGGGAAAATTGTGCGAAAAGTCAAGCAAGGCTTTTCTCACCACTGGGAGCAACAAGTCACATTTTCCAATTATGTTCCAGACATTGAGATAAGATTCCCACTAGTGAATGGTGAGAGATCTATTAATAGAGATTATCACTCATTATTACCTAATCTCACCTAATTAATATGCAATCTCTAATCTACCACCCATTGGAAAGAAACTAGACAGTGAGATTCACTGATATGAAAGTCAGTACAGGTACCTGGCAACTCTAGATCACTACTTGCCCCTCCGGACCACCAGGATCTTTGGACACACTTCGAGCACCAGGCACCAACATTTCAAGTCATGCTCCATGAGCAATAGCTGCATTCAGCCCATATCCACAAATATTAGCATGCATGCCAGTGCCTCTGCAGCACCATGACACATCTGCAATCCTCTTATAATACGTTTCTGCATTACAATGCTGCATCTTGGAGCACACCAACGACTAGCATTGGAATGATTCTGTAAGGACACATTGCATGTAAAGATAGGCACACAGCTCATGGATTGAACCAGCCTGCATCTCAGAACTGTTCACTTGCTTTCTCAGCAGTCATTCACTTAGCACCTACCTGAATGCTCACAGAATCTCCTTGCCTTACCTTTTAGCATTTTATCCCACTTAGCCAGAGCAAACAGGTCCACGGTACTTCTGACTTGACTTGCCTTTTTGTACAGACACAAAGCCAGGAAACTTGTCATATTTAGCAGTCTCATCAGTCAAGAGAGTGGACATGTTGCAGTAAGGCATCATGCTATGTCAATCTTGTAATTGGGTAAGAGAGAGGAAACATGTTGCATATGATACTGAGTGTGAGGTATTGGAGAGAAAGTGGTGGCAGGGCGATGGTCATTGACCTTCTTACCCTGCTGGGCAGTCCCTCAGATGGCTGAGAATGTATTGAAGCAATGGCAACCCCAAACAAGGCTGGCAGGGTCTTGTTTTTTGGCCTCCTCTGATGACCTAGTGCAAAATAGATATCTCTCCAGATCCCTGCATACAGAGTAGGGCACCAATTTCCCCTTGGCAAATATCAGGGCAGCTCCAGACTGGTGGTTCTTGTTTGGGCACGTAACGGCATTTTAAAGATAGAGCTGGAGCCAAAGATCCTGGAATATTCTTGCGGTGCTGTGTACCTATGACAATAGTGAGTGGGAGAATCACACTAGCATTGGACAGGAGGGGTACTGTAGGGGCATGTTGGATAATTAATATGGTGAGTTTGGAATGATAGCATGAGAAAACTTGCCAGGTCTCATGGAGAGCAACATGATGAAAATGACTCTTTGCCAAAACAGGGTAAGGTTCAGCCCTAATTTTCTATTGGTGGAAGACTGCAGGGCTGAAGCTAGTCACTTTTTACCCTTTAGCGTGTAGAAAATAAGAAATGGCATAAACTGAAATTGAAGAATTTTAATTCTTTACACTTAATTTTCAGTTGAAGCTTTAACCAGGCATCTGTGAAATTTCATTATTGTTCTCAAGAAGTTAAAATGTTAAAGGAATGCCAACAAATCTACATGTGCCTCATTACAGATCAGAACATCAGTTTACCTAAGGATGCTGGCTATTCTGGAGGTTTTTCTCCTTGATAGTTACATCGGATAACTTCAGTCCAGATCAAGAAAATTGATGGTACAAAGTATGATTTTTGAAGTGATGACTTTTCAGTACATTAGGACAATTATTCCTAATTGTTTCCAACTCCTTTTTAAATATTCATTTCTCTTTTATAATTATTAATACAAATAATACTTACCAGAAATCATTGTTCTCCAATCTTTCTCCACCTTAGCTTCATTTTTAAACTGATGAAGCCTCATCATCATCTGATAAGAGCATGAGGATCAACTTAAATACATATAGAATCAAACTTAACTGGCCATCCAGTGGGGCTTGGTACTCTCATGTGCCAGTTTAGAGATACAGAGGAAGACATTAACTGACAAGGTGTAGTACAAATTAGCAGTCTTTCCCTAAATGATGAGATATTATTTAGCATTGAGAAAAACTCTCGTCTTTTCTTTCGAATGTAATTTACAATGTTTTGCGATAATGTGTTTTTACCTGTAACAGATGCATTGTGGTATATTAACACTGCATCAATAGGGCTGACAGCAAGCTTTCTGGTTGATAAACAACAAAATAGTTTTAGCAGCGCACAAGTGTTGTGGTTAAATCTGTACTTTATTTCCTACCTATGTGCAGAACAGATCAGGTTATCACATAAAATGACTTTTGAGTGAATTGCATCAGACATGCATTTTTAGTACAACATAAATGTTAGAAAGAGTGTGTGATATTTTGAAAAAGGAAACTGAATACAAGACAACCATTGGTAAATATCAAAGGATTGCCCACTACAAGTTGCTTATTAAATATGAACGGCATTTTTGGGGTGAAAATTCAAGACGTGATATTAGAACATAAAGGTAGTAGCTTGAAATGTATTTGTTTTTAGGAAGATGCTAAATCATTAAAATAATAAGGAACAAATGCTTAATAGCTGTATGATTAGTAGCTGGTAAAGCAGGGTCTAGCAAACAGGTTTTCAGTTTGATAATTGGGAGAAATAATGCTATACTTGTTTTGTGCAATCGTCTTCTTCTAGATGATAATGAACTGACTCAATCTGACAAATCATATCCTGGAAAAAGCTGACAATCGAAACACCATTTAAGTAACAACACCAGGAGCTACATTCTCATGTCCTTCAAATATAAATTCACTTTTGGGGAAGAAAATTGTCAGTTCTGCTGCAGTCTTAGATTGCTAGTTCTGGAAACTTGACCTTCAAATTTTGTTGGTATAATTTTAGTCTTCTTGCGTTTGGCGCACCAAACTGAAGTTTTCTCAATATTTATCAATAGATTTAACATTATTACAAACTCAGGAATTTTCCATTATCAGGTACAATGTCTGAAGCCAAACAAAAACACTTAATATCTTCCACAGATGAAATTTCGTTCATGCTGTTAGTGTGGAAGGATAATGATTTTTTTGACAGTGCTTTCTTATAACAGTTATGATGCTGGCATCCATTTCCTCTATTATTTCATGTAGAATGATGCCCACATTCCTTGAACAGGTTTTTAAAAACAGTATTGAAAACGCAGAGAGATGAATCTGAAGTATGCAATTTAAGTGCTTTTGAAAAACTTGGGCAGTTGCAGTTTTTAACCACAATTTATCCCCATTTTACAGGCAGAACTGACAACTTTCTGCTACCAGAGTGGAACTTTATATGAATGGACTGTTATCAGAGTTTATCTCCAGATGTTATTTAAATGGTGATTAGATTGTCAGATTTCTCAATGTGATTTATCAGGCACATGCAAAAAAAAATCCATAGCACTAAAGAAGGAAGTCTTCGCAGTATCCCGGCTATCATTCATTTCTCAACCAGCACAACCAAAAATAGATTATTTTCTCCTACCGACCAACCTCATCCCGCCCCCTTGACCTGTCCGTCCTCCCTGGACTGACCTATCCCCTTCCTAACTCCCTACCTACACTCACCTTTCCTGGCTCCATCCCTGCCTCTTCGATCTGTTTGTTTCCTCTCCACCTATCCTCTCCTCTATCCCTCTTCTATCCGCCTCCCACTCTCTCCCTATTTATTTCAAAACCCCCTTCCCCTCCCCCTTTTCTGATGAAGGGTCTAGGCCCGAAACGTCAGCCTCTCTGCTCCTATGATGCTGCTTGGCACCTTGTTGTCTCGGATTCTCCAGCATCTGCAGTTCCTACTATCTCTTATTTTGTTAATGGTTTTATTTGATATTTATGGATGCTTGTTTGAAAACTCCCTGTGTTTGCTTACAAAACAGCAACATCTACAGTTCAGAAGTAATTAGCTGGTTGCAAAATGCTTTGGAACATCCATAGAATATGAAAGATATTATAGTTTTTTGTCTGATTTTAATCTTTTTTGCCAGTGAACGTTTTGCCATTAAAACATCGAAACTAGTCTAACTAATGGCAGATGGTTGATTTTGTGAATAGTTGAATGATGCAGACCTGAAATTTGAAATTCTCGACTTAGTTAGTTGAATTCAGTCAGAGGGAGAACCCCAACTGATTTAATCAACTTAGGTACAAATCAGTTTGGCTCTAATTCCTGAGCAGCAATTCTTTCTGAATATGTCTGTAACTAAGAACAGAATCAGATTCTGCTGTATGCCTCCTGATGTTGCTTAGCTTGCTGATGTTCTTGCCCGTGCTCACACTTTTACTGCCTACTTTTGAAAGAACAATAAATAATTAAAAGAAACTTGACTGACAGGCATGTAATTCATCACAATGTTATTTTCTCTGTAATTCACGCCATCAACTTTTGCTGAGATAGCAGATCTTTCTTTATCCAAACAAAAAGACTTGAGTGGATCAACAGTTCAGCTATCATCTGGTTAGTGAGGGGAGAAATAGCTTTATCATCCCATTTTAGAGAATGACAGATTTGTTCATCATAAAATCCAAACCTGTTACTTAACGTTGTTAATGTATATTTCCACAGACTGAACAGTTTGTACATGCTTTTGAAGACCAATTGCTGAGAAGTGCCCTGTTAGCTTTACATAAGGCTCGTCCAAGCTACATCAACAAAAAGCACCCCAATCCTATCCATAATCCAGATGGCAGTGAACAACAGTATGAAAGCAGTGAACGCAGGTCCAGCAAAGATTCAATACCTCATCATGCTGAATATGACGAAGAAGATTGGGCAAGTGATACCTAGAAGAATTTTGCATTTTACCAGCTGACGTATTAACCGTGCTTATACCTTCTGATCCATTTTCTCTAATTAGTTATTCAATAAAAACAATTTCATATGAAAAAAATCAAAAGACTTACTTTTCTGTGCACTGGTACATCTTTATAGTGTGTGAATATATATTGTGTAATCAGATTGCATCTGATATTACTATAGTATCAAATGATACTACGTAATCACACTTCAGTTCAAATCATGAACAAAAACAGAAATTGCTGAAAAAGCTCAGCAGGTCTGGCAGCATCTGTGAAGAAAAAGATCAGAGTTAACGTTTTGGGTCCAATGACCCTTCCTCAGAACTCAGTTCAAATCATGTTGCTTTTGTGGACAATGATAAAGCAATGGTTCTCACTCAAAGAAAATGTCCTCAAAGAAAATGTCCTCAAAGAAAACTGCGCACACAGATCTATTGTTGTCTGTTGTGCAGACTTGCCCTTCTTGAACAGAGTATAAATTTGGTGGGAATCTCCAGTCATGCAGCAAAATAGCTGAATATTGAAGTATTCTCTCAGGTGGCATCCCAGGAAGTTAACATTATATCCTTTTGTCTTTATTTTACGTTTCCAGACAGGGAAATAAATAATTATAATTGAATTTAGAAGAAGCCAAAATGAAATATCAATATGAACAAATATTGAAAAATATTTATTTGTGTAACTTTTTTATTGTAATGGACAGCTTGACATTTCCCCAATATAAAGTTAGCTTTTTAAGGCTGAGGGTCTATACAATTAATAATTATGGAGTTACTGCTTTGTTAAAAGTAGGTGTACCCGAATTAACAGTGTTAACTTTTTAAGGGCTATACCATGAGGTGAATTTGCTGATTGTTTAGGGATTGCACCGATACAAGAACTTCAACAATGTACCCTCTGGAGAAACACAGAATGACAAATATCACTAACGAACAGTCTATTTTCCCATCAGTGCCCCACAATATCTGGACCAGTATCTCATAAAGGTAGACATCTTTTGCACCACTCACTGTTTACATTAATATCAACTGATGGCCAGTATATACGCACCTTACGAGAACCAGAACCTGGTATATTGGAGTACATCAGGGGTCCAATAACCAGGCCCTGGGCTTTAGTAGGCCTGATGTGCTTGGTCATGGTGGGGTTTGGGCTCACTGTGTTTCTGTTGGGAGTGGGCCTGGTGGGCTTGGCTGGCGGGGAGTGGACACTGTGCTCAGGACAAAAGCTGGGCTCGTGGGTCAGGAGCAACATTGGGGGCTGTCATGTCCCTGGCCCTGTCACGAACACCAGCCTGCCTGAATCAAAAGTATTTCTCTGCATACTTTGAACATTTTATTGATTATTTCTTAGTTAAACATTGGTAACTTTTGTGTTTTCAAAGCAAGTATTGAATAATTCATACACATTTAGTTTCAGAGTACCAGCCCTTGAACTGCTAAGATACAAAGTCAAATTGGCTATACTTTATCAGAACAATGTGTCATAACCTTGACCTCAGTGCAGAAATTCTTATCACACTGGTGTGACATTTCCATTTTTCATGTTACTTTGTGGCTACTCTAAGTCAAATTGTTAACTCATGACAAATCAAGGATAACTTTGAACTGTTGACAAGAAATTAATTCAAGATTCATTTCATTTAGAACTTTACAACTGACAGAGAAATAAGGCCTCGAACCTACCAGTTAAAAACATAGATTTCTATTGAAGCCCACAATCTTCTGACTAGTCGTCCATCCATAAACTTCTATTATGAGTGATAAATTGTAAATCTCTCCATTAAGGCAATGTTTATTGTAATAAATTAATTAATAAATTTCCTGACTTATACAGCATAACAGTGATACAGTAACTCTGTTTTTGTTCTGGATATAACTTGACTTTTTTTTTCTAGGACAGAGTTTGGGTGAACGTGGGGAAAAGTTTGAACTGTATTATTGCAATGGTGGACCGACTGCTTGAACAAGTTGACACAGGACAAGAATGTGAGGTTGAACCTTCAGCAGTTAATCAAATTACCTCTTCAGCATCTGGTAGGTTTCAAATCACTCAAACCATGTAATGAACAGATAATTGTTCTTCTGTGCAATGTATATCTACTTTAACTGTCTCCTGTGAGAATCTGATCACTTAATCTGAACTATCAACATCTTTTCTCCTCCAGCACTCTGCACCCACCACCCACACACTGCCCCCTTTCCCCAACTGTGGCTTAAATGCTGTCCCCTCCACCCTTCACTTCAGCTCCAATGAAGCATCATCTAGACTCAAAACATTAGCTTGCTCTCTCCTTGGATGTTGTCTGACCTGCTGTGATCTCCAGCATTTTTTTGTTTTCAGTATCTATCTATCTCTATCTTCAATACACTCAAAAACTTCGACAGTGAGTTCCATTGATTAACCACCCTCTGGCTGAACTCCTATCTCAGTTCCAAAGGGTCATCCTTTCACTCTGAGACTGTGCCCCTGGGTCCTAGTCTGTCCTTCTAGTGCAGGCTTCTCAAAATTCTGTAAGTTTCAATCAGCCCCCTCCTTCATCCCTCTAAACCTCATTGGGTACAGACCTCGAGTCCTCAACCACCACTCATCTGACAAGCATTTTATCCCTGGGATCATTCTTGTAAACCTTTTCTGCACACCCTCCAAGGCCAGCACATCTTTCCTTCGATACGGGGCTCAGAACAGCTCACAACATCCCTAATGTCGTCTGACCACAACTATGCACAGCCTCAGCAGTCTACTTCTACTCTTGTATTCTAGCCCTCTCAAAATGAATGCTAACATTGCATTTGCCTTCCTAACTGCCAACTGAACCTACACGTTAACTTTGACAGTCCTGAACTAGGACTCCTAAGTCTCTTTATGATTCAGATTTCCAGAGCCTTTTCTCAATATAAAATATAGTCTATGCTTCCATTCTTCCTAACAAGTATACAACCAAAATTCACTTAACCTTCCAGACTAACTTTGAGTTGGGCTGGTTTGCACAAACGTGCTCTCATACCATATTGACTGCATCTAACAATTAATTATACAGATGAATGGGCAGTGCCATGTTGATGTGTTTCCTATGTTGGTTAATCATGCATCACAATCCCTTTGCAGGGAAATTACATTTTCCCTCTTGAACTTACAATTGAAATGTTTTTATTTTGTTATAACGCATGTGCAAACTATGATGTGTTATTCTCTACTTCAGTAAAGATAATCCAATAAGAAGCTAGGCATCTGTGATTGTCCACATTAAATGCCCACCCTCTTTAAATTAGCGGAAAGCTAAATACTTTGTGAATGTCATGAGAAATTAAGGACTCTGGAGCGTGATAATAAATTAAAGAATTGAGGTATCATACAGTAGTTAAATTAAGGGAGGAGTTATAAGGAAAGGCTGCAGGATTAGTGAAATCAGGAATATTCCCTTAATCTTGGGAAGTTGGAGTGATTTCTGCAACCAACTAAATACTGGCAGCCATTACATAGTAAGGTTCAACCAGAGAGTGCAAGGAGATAGTGAATCAAAGATGATAATCCCAAGACTGGAAACAGACCGAATAATAACTTGTAATTGTGTAACGCCTTTAACATAGACTTCATAGAGTCATACTCACGGAAAAGGATATTTGCCTGGGCAGTTAAGTTAGCAAACAGGCTGATGGTACAGCAATAGTAATTTTTAAAATATGAGATCAATTTAGAACCAAATAATATATTCTCATAAAATGAAAGTTGTGTACATCAAGTAATAGAATTCCATAGACTAACAAAGAGATCAAAGTTACACAAGCTTAAAAGGATAGTTGGAGTTAACAATAAAAACGAAAAGGTAATGTAGAAAGTACCTAATTGCAGAAGGTAAAGCTGTGGCAATTATTTAGTAAATTTTACATTGCATTTCACAGATGATTATCAAAATGGACTAAATCTATTCGACTTTGATATGAAACAATGATTACAAATAACTGTTTAAAATGAGTTGTTTTTGTTTTTAAAAAAAACTCAAAGTGCATAAGACACTGAGTTCTGATGACCTACATCCTAGGTTTTCAAAAGAAATCATGGGGGGGCTTTATTGCGGAATAAGGAACGTCTATTTTGTCTGTTGGAGAGTCATTGATGAGAGATCATCAATCTAAATTTTGTATGCAAGTATTCAAGTATGTTTTAAAAAAATTTCATTCCAAATTGTTGGAAGCAACTGAGACAGAGACTTTTAAGGGAAAGCTTCCTCAATATCTGAAACCAAATGCTGTGGGAAAAGTACTGAACCATGAAATTAATTTTTCAATCCTCTCACCAAGACCAGGCAGAAAATGGTAGAGTCTCCATCTCCATCTGCGTTTTAAAGTCCTGCAGTTCCATTGCCTTATAAAGCGCTTGTGTTAATTTTCATTTAGAACAAGATTTGAACTATTTAAGATAACAAGGTGTAGAGCTGAATGAACACAGCAGGCCAAGCAGCATCATAGGAGCAGGAAGGCTGACGTTTCGGGCCTAGACCCTTTTCTGATGAAGGGTCTAGGCCTGAAACGTCAG